TGCACGAGTGACGGTCTCTTCTTTTCCTTCGCGATTCGTGGGGGTTCGTCAGGTGTCGATGTCCTTCGGGTTTTAATTCGGGAGCAATCGGGGCCAATCAGCACGGGTGAGTGGTGACGATGACCACAATCCAGGGATGTCTCGCAAGGGATTATTGCTGGTGGTGAATATTCGGGGGTCTAGTATGGGGAATTTCCAGGAGGCGATGGCTTCTCCAATTGATCGGGTGGGGCCGGAACTGATGTCTTCCTTCGGCTGATGTCTTCGTGATGTCCAGGGGCAGGGGTAGAGGGGCGATGAGGGGAAAAGTGAGGGAAGGGGTATCCAACGGTGGCGGGATTTACATTTTAGGGGGCAGTGTGTAGTGGGAAAAAATATGTAGAAAAATAATAAAAAATAAATGAATATGCCTCGTCACAAGGTGTGTACCTGTGAGTATGTATGTGAGCAAACTTTTGTGCTATGATTTCTCTCAAAAGTAAACAGTGTAATTCAATTTTTTTCAATGCAATTGATGCATCTCCATAGAACTCAGAAGTAATTAAATTGTGAATACACTGGTTTCTGCGGTTCTTCAATTATTCGCTACACATAGGTAATACAACGTGGAAAAAAGATTTAGGAAATTCAACTGTTAGACATAGAGGAAAGATGGAATCTAACACTTTACCTGTAGGGGAGGGTGTGCCTGTACCGCTCATCTAAGGGGAAATATCAAGTTAGCATCTTGAGGGGTAACAGAAGGCCACCATTCCCTCGAATTTTTTTAACAAATTCCCTGCTCAAAGTTATTAATATTTCTCGAATCCAAAGCACATTGATCTTCATTATCATCTCCTGGAGATTAATGTAATTCGATTTGTAAAAATATTGATAACTTTCGGCAGAAAATTTGTTTAGAAATTTGGAAAATTATCAGCTCTGTCACCCCTTAACCCTCTAACTCGCAAACCATACGAAACCGCATCGGTGTGACGGCCACCAATCATAGCGCGCCGCGCGATGTGTTACCCACGTAGGAAATGCCAGTGTTGGAGAAACGGGCCAAGCCTGGCACAAGCCTGGGCTTGCCAAGTCTGGGCGCCCAGGCTTGGACCGAGGTTCGGCCATCCCTGGGGACCAGGGCTTG